CTAACTTCATAATCAAACCTGAAATTTCTCATGGCCAGGCAAGCTGGCACACTCCACCCCACCATGCACTGGCACAGCATGTAGATTGAGGAACTCTGGGAATTTCTGTTACTCGGCAACATTCTCAAGAAAACATCTCCCCACACACAAACACACAAATATTCAAGCAATGCCGAGGATCCAACTGGGAGGTAAGAGCTATTGTTGCCCACCTCTTCCTCCCTGTTCCAAGCATCATCGGAGGAAACAAAGAGGGCTCCAGTGTAAAGTGCCAGTCACGCTCACCATCCCCACTATGACCTACTTTATACAACGTATTTTAACATATTGAATTCTACTACTTTTTAAAGCACATCAAAAGTACCTTCCCACAACATCAATGCATTTGCAAACTGTTCCCTGTCATCAATAAAATGTATGTTTCACCTGGGCACAATGGCTCATGTCTACTCAGGAGGCTGAGATCTGAGGATCCCAGTTTGAAGTCATCCTGGGCAGAAAAGTCCATGAGAGTCTTATCTGCAACTAGCCACCAAAAAGCTAGAAGTGAAGCTATGGCTCAAGTAGTAGAACACCAGCCTTGAGTGATTAAAAAGCTAAAGGATGGCATTCAGACTCTGAGTTCAAGTTCCAGTATGTGAGAGAGAGAGGAGAAAAGAAGAGAGAGAGAGAGACAGAAGAGAGAGACAGGAGAGAGGAGAGAGAGAAGAGTAGAGCAGGGAGTGGGGGTTTAACTGTCTAACAAGTACATGTAAAAAATAAAACTAATGCTGGACACTGGAGATCTGAGAACTGCAGTTCAAAGTCAGCTTGGGCAGGAAAGTCCATGACTTTTATCTCCAATAAACAACACAGAAAAATCCTGAAGTAGCACTATGGCTCAAGTGGTAGATAGCTAGCCTTAAACACAAAGAGGCTTGGGGACAGCGTCCAGGCCCTGAGTTCAAGCCCCAGGAACAGCAATAATAAATAAATAAAACTAATGATCCAGACACATGAAGGAAAGAACAAAATGAGCCATGTGAAAATCCTATCTGGTTTTTTCCGGACTCTGGGAAAGTAGATAACTAACTTACTAGGGTAGAAAGGATGGAGGCCAACCTGGATTGCCAAGCTCCCCCAGCCAGCACCACAGCCCTGTCATAGTCTGGCTGCTACATCTGCTGGAATTTTGCTACCAACAAAACTAGAAATTTGTCACTTGGATGAAGAACCCTCTGTTGAGATTTTTACAGTAGCTAGAATTAACAAAGTAACTGACTTAGTACCTGAATTCTAAGTACAAGATGATCAGCAGTTGAAGATAATACTGTTTTCTCATTTCTTCCAGGTTAATTCAAAGTGTGTGTGTGTGCACACGCATGTGTGTCCTACCACACCCAATAGCTCCACCAGCTTTGGCAGAGGTTAACACTAAAATTTTTGTTTGTTTGTTTTTAAAGAGGTCTAAAAAGTTTAACAAGATGGTTCCTTACAGACACACCAAGTTTAAATAATCAAGAACTGTGTTCTCTGGTCTCCAACTCTACCGGGCCCCGTCTGGTTCTGCAAGTTCTGAATCATTATAGCATTTACTTTAATCTCTAGAACAAGCTGAAATAGTGACTACTGTTTTGCTTGTTCTAACAAGGAAACCGCCGCTCAGAGATGGCATGCGACTTGATCAACGTACCACAACTTGGAATGGCTGGCCCCAGAAATGTCTAGTAACTTCATATCTGAAGCTGAAAGTACTCCTGGCCCCTAAAAACCTCTCTGGATGTGCAAATGGACATCCAACTCTCTTTTTCGTGTGTGGGCAAATGTGACAGTACCCAGGGCTTGAACCTGATCAGGGCTTATGTGCTATCCTTGAGCTTTTTGGCTCAAGGCTTGTTGCTCTACCATTTGAACCACATCTCTACTTCCAGTTTGTTTGTTGTTTTTGCTGGTTATTCAGAGATAAGAGTTTCACAGACTTTTCTGCCCAAGATGGCTTTGAACTCTGATCTTCAGATCTCAGCCTCCTGAGTAGCTAGGATTACAGGAGTGAACCATAGGCACCCAGCAACCAATTCCCTCTTAACCAGAGGGAAGGGTTCTCTTCAGGATTCTCTAATCATGACTCTTTGTCAAAGATTAGATTTTCTATGGTTCTCAGACTTGTTCTGGGCACAAAAATGCCTAAAGTCATAGTATTTTGTTTTGTTTGGATAATACAAAATGAAGCATAGTAATATTGCTTACCCAGTAATTAAGCATATGCCCCCATCCACAAAAAGGAATAGTCCTTATAGCACAGAATAATGATTACCTTTGAATCTTTCAATGGATCAAAGTTCTCATTGTTAAACCATTTGCAGAACTGGAATTTCCAACGTACCATCTTTTGTTAAAATATAAGCCAGGAAATGTACGATATTTTTTCCCGCTACTATTAAGGAGAAAATCAAGGAAAAGTAGGAGGTAGCAATCAGACAAATGGATGAATGGAAATAAGAACTTGAGCTTGGCCAAACCTGGTGGGAGAAGAGATATGGATGCTGAGGAATTTGGAAAGTCTGCTGGGATTAAAGTCATCATTTGGATGATGGACAGTTTATCGATCTTGACTTTATTTAAGCCTTTGAATGAATGAATTAGAAGGAAGTCTGCTTGCATGGGAAAACCCTTCAGGGATGTCCCTCATGGCTGGAAGTGGAACTGTAGCTCAAGTGGTAGAGCACTTAAGTAAAAAAAAAAAAGCTCAAGGCCAATTCTCAAGCTCCAGGACTAGCCAAACAACAACAACATCAACAACACCGAAAGCTCATTTGCAAACATTTCCTAATTCCATTTAAATTACCACATTTTAGGTGCTTTTTGCTGTTTAATAGGGAGAAACATTCTATCCCAGTAACTATACAAAAACCTCGAGTAGTTAAAGGCTCTCCCAAGCAAGGGAAAGCTACTCCTGTGGTAGAGAGGTGTGGGCTGAGGAGAGGGGTGTGAAATATGCCAGCAGAGTGTCTATTTATTGCCAAGGCAGCCGCCACAAGTACAAATCAGACACTGTGCACCAAGTGTTCTCATCAACAACATTTGCTTGCTCCAGAAGTATGAGAAAACCAAGCCAAGCGCATCTACCTGGTACAGACAGGGGCCATGGCTCTTCTTCCCCGAGCACGGGGGATGTGAGAGAATGTGCGAGAAACACGTATACAAGGAACTTACAGTGACCTCTGGACAGTCTCATTGCCCTGGAAACATGGTGGAAAGCGGCAGGATTTATTTCGTGAGGGACTCCTATCCTTTCTCTAAGGGATTTTCTTAGCTCCGCCCTTCACAAAGCAGGCACAGAAAAGGGCCAAAAGCCACTTGTGGAGTGGTAGCAATTCTGCACCAGAATTTAAGATTAACAATTTGGATGAGATCAAGGCCCTTGGGAATTCTCTGGGGGATCCCAAGGGTTCTATACATTAATACAGTTTATAACACCATCTAAAAGTAAACAAGCTAGAGCCTTGGGGTCAGTTGTGACCCCCACACACGCATCCTTTTGACCCTTTAATATCTTAAAGAGCAGCACCAGGAATTTAAAAAAAAAAAACAAAGTGGAGGAGACCTAAACGAATAGGGGGGGTAAGCAAAGTTGGGCTGAGAAAACTTCCATGCTGTAATCTGATTCTGTAAGACGAACACCTACACTGTAGAAACAACAAAACAAAAACACACAACTCAATGCAGTACGTTCCTCTTACAGGAAGCTCTCTGGTTCTCACCCAGGGTCTCTCCAGCATTGCCCCTGCTAGCACCATTCAGTATAGAGAACAATGCCTTCTATCAATGGGGTTATCTTAGCTAATAGCACCCATTATATACCTGTAAGTGTACACACACACACACACACAAAGTGGCACTCCCTCACTTCACAGCTAGCAAATGTGGAGCAGAATGTCTAACTAGCTCGGCCCAAATTGGAGGGTGCCGTTGGCACCTCAGTGCAGGTGCCTGTGGCTTCGATCCATGGTCTATTTATAGAGAGTGGTGTTGGGGGTGCCCTAGAAAGGGTGTCAGCATCAAGTCATGTCCTTGTACTCTTACTGTCATATTAATGATAGTCTTATCTTGGGAATTATTGGTGTATTTCCCCATTTTTCAGTATCTCAGGATGTAAGTGAGCACCTCAGACTTGGTCTGACATGTTAAATACCTTCCTCTGCACCCCAAGAGAACACCCCCAACCCATCTGTTCAAGGAACACACGCATTGTTGCAGCAAAGTGGTATAGAAATAGCTTCATGTCCTTGCAAAATTGCCAGCACGAGTAAGGACCTGGAAATGGTTGCTATGCATGTATGTCAGAAAACTTATTAACTGCTTCTGTGCTAAAGAAAAGACGACTTTTATTTTCAACTGCTATAGGAATCTGGGACACTATGCTAGATACAGTTGACTATTTTCAAGACAATTTTAGTTCACTGAATACGTATCTATTTTGCTAATGTTATCTAGATGAATCAAGTCTAGAAAATGCAATTGCCTGTCACCAGCTAGTGGAAGAGTAGTCTGGCCTTGACCATGTGGGGTTCAACCAATTTCTCTTGCAGAGTTTCTTAACCTTGCAAGCTTTTTAAAATTTTTTTTGGGGGGTGGCGGGTGCTGATACTAGGATCTTGTGCCCTCACTTGGCTTTTCTGTCAAGACTGGAGGTCTTGACTCAATCACTTGAGCCATACCTCTTCTTCCAGGTTTTTGGGGGGTTAATTGGAGATACAAGTCTCAAGTACAGCAGTGATACTCATAGACACTATGTTGAAAATGAACTATACAACTTGTGGGTGGAGGCAGGAGGGAAAAACTGGGAGAGAGCGAGAAAAGGGATGACATTGTCTAAGAAGAAATGTACTCATTGCCTGACTTATATAACTGGAACCCTTCTGTACATCACCTTTACAATATTAATCAAAACATTAAAAAAAAAAAAAAGAGTCTCACAGACTTTTCTGCCTGGGCTGGCTTTGAACCACGATCCTCAAATCTCAAGCCTCCTGAGTAGCTAGGATAACAGCTATGAACCATGGACACCCAGTCCATGCAAGCTCTTAAATCTTCCAATGACCCTGCTACCTGGCCCACGTCACTTTGAGATTTGCTCCTTAGCCAGAGTGACTGGTATTTATTTGCAGACAGGACCACTCTTTACCACCCTGTTTTGCTTGGTTATTGCGCAAAAGCACCATGGTTTTTCTCTGCTTTTAATGAAGCATTAAGGTCCGTTTACATAGCGATAAATAAAGTAATTACTGTTGGGATGGCATTCTGCCTAAGTCATCTTGAAAACTGAGTGCAAAATCTTTTTAATAGCCCCATAATGGTCTCTTGAAGTGTTACAGATTTTTTTATAACGATAGCTGTAATACAAGTGCCATTATTTACTTTGAGACTTGGACATTTTGACCATTTGTTTGGTCCGGGTGTATCTCCCGCTGAGCTGAGCACAGGCGGTGGTAGCACAGTGGATGCCTGTATCCTCTGCCTTCTTTCTGCTCAGGGTGGCCGTGAGCAGTGGAGGGAGCCACAGTGGGGCACCACTGGTGATAATAGGCAGGTGTCTGTGTCTGCCCAGCTCTCCATTTCCATGGAGGCGGCGTAAGAAAAACCTTCTTTGTTGGCAAAATGGAGATTCTGTTCGGGGAACTCAAGTCACTGGCCAGTTTGAAAGTGTTCTGCAAGAAAGCACATTGCTTCCGTTTTCTGATTTTTCAGCCTCTGAAGGAGACCAAACAAAGTACAGTGTTAAAAAGGAAGAGGGCAATGTCCCTCGGCCTTTGTGTGTGTGTGTGGGGGGGGGGGGGGGGGGGCTGAAGGTGCCAGTACTGAGGCTTGAGCTCAGGGCGGAGGCACTGTCCCTGATCTTTTCTTTTGTTCAAGGGGTAGTACTCAACCACTTGAGCCACAGCTTCACTTCTAGCTTTTTACTGGTTAATTGGAGATAAAGGTCACACACTTTCCTGCTTGGGCTAACTTCAAACTGGGATCCTCAGATCTCAGCCTCCTGAGTAGCTAGGATGACAGGCATGAGCTACTGGCATCTGACCAATAATTTATCCTTATAGTACCTTTAAGAGGAAGAAGATGAGCCAGGCAACGGTGGCACACGCCTGTCTGTCATCCTAGCTACTCAGGAGGCTGAGATCTGAGGATTACGATTCAAAGCCAGCCCGGACAGGAAAGTCCATGAGACTCTTATCTCCAATAAACCACCCAGAAAACCGAGGTAGCGCTGTGGCTCAAGTGATCGAGCACTTGCCTTGAGCTGAGGGACAGCACTCAGGCCCAGAGTTCAAGCCCTACAACTGACAAAAGAAAGAGAAGAGGAAGATGTCCTGAGGAGATACTTGACCCTGCTCTCTCTGGATTAAGAAGGACACACTCTAAACAATTCTCAAGTACAGCATGAGGTGGTAGCCTTCTGAACCCCTGAGTGTCCCTAGTATCTCCCACAGAGCACCATGGTCAATAGGCCTAAGAGCCCATCTGCAAAGGGAGAATCCATACAGTAACCTATGGGAATCTGAAGGAAGGGAAGGGGCCAGTGCAAGGCAGATCTGTTCCTATGCAAAAGACTACTGAACAACAGGGTCTACCTCCTAACCTGACACCTACCACATCCTAGCAGTTGCCACTGCCTGTACAGCAGGCATGACATGCTGAGGGCCGAGGGCAAGCCACGAGAAATCGTGGTCCATCCAGGACAAGCAGGGGCCTGAGGAAGGGTGACCAAGTCCATTGGTAGCAGGTAGCAGCCACTGAAGAAGAGCCAGAGAGAGAAGAGGATGTAGGGAAGAGTAGTTAGGGAGAGGATGGAATGGAAGTACCAGTACTCTCATTAAAAACCAGTGCAACACCGCTTGAAACCTAACTGATCTACGGCTCTAGAGAATCAAGTTAATGTTCAGGAGGAATCAATTAAGATGATATGTGCGTACAAGGCCCAGAAGTAAGGGTGAGAAGGTCAAAAGTGAAAAGACTGAGAGTCAGAGCCACAGATGACAGACATTGGACACAGGACTGCTGTCTTAGTCAGGGATTCATTTGTGACTTAATGTTGATACTGATTTTCAGGGAAAAATAAAAATTTCTTTTTTTTGCTGCAAGGGACTCCCAGAATAGAAAAATCAAATACCTTTCAAATTAACAATGGATCAACATGGAAGCTGATTAAAAAAAAAAAAAAAGTCAAGTGTAGGGCAACTTGGGAGTAAGAGAAAAGCAATAAAGCAAAATGTATTCATCACAGTAAACACAGGCAAGGCTGAATTTCCCTACTGAAGGACAAAACTGTCACAATGAGGTTGAAAAAATTCATCACAGTGCCAAGCATGGCACACCTATAATCCCAGCACTTGGGAGACCTAGGCAGGAAGATCACAAATACAAGAGCAGCCTGGGTTACACAGCGAGACTCTGTCACAACGAAGTAAAAGAAATCAAATGGGCTTCTTCCAATAAAAGTTAATATCTGAGTGGAAGACACATCTTAAATTTGGTAAGTTATATTTACCAACACTGAACAAGAGTATTCATTTCTCATACACAAACATGTTTACTGAAGCCAGGAACAGCACAATAGTGCCCTTTTCTTTAAAAAATAAAAAGTAAGCAAATAAGGATGAATGTGTGCACATCAACAAGTGAATTTACTATAATCTTGTAGCATAGGAGAAAGAGAAAGGCAGGAGAAATAACATGATTGTCTCTTTAACACACAATAGCAGACTAACATCTGCAACTGACCTAAAGTGATAATCAACAACAACAATTTTTTTAAAAATGCAACTGCTGGTCACCAGTGGCATCACACTCGTCATCCTAGCTACTCAGGAGGCTGAGATCTGAGGATCACAGTTCAAAGTCAGCCAAAGGGCAGGGAAGTCCGTGAGACTCTTACCTCCAACATACAACTAGAAAACGGAAGTGGTGCTGTGGCTCAAGTGAAGAGTGCTTGCCTTGAGCTGAAGAGCTGAGGGACAGCGCCCAGGTCCATAGTCCAAGCCCCACGACCAAAAATAAATAAATAAATGCAACTGAAAATATTATGAAACACAGTGTAGAAATGATTTCTTTCCCTCTTAGTGAAACTGGGATTTGAATTCAGGGCCTTCAGCCTAGCTTTCTGCTGGTTATTTTGGAGATGGAATCTCACAGGCTTTTATGACAGTTTGGCTTTTCAACTGCAACCAGATCCTCTGGATCTCAGCTTCCGGAATAGCTGGGATTACAGGTGTGAGCCACCAGCTCCCATCTACACTATTTTCTCTACAAATAATATGATCTCATTTTATTAAAAACTGAAAACCATAGCAGATCTATTAGTATACATTTTACTCTAGGAATACATTTTACATTCTTAGAGAAGGAATAAAAACTAAAGTACAGATTACTCTTCTACCTCCCTATCTCCCCTGTTTTTGGTTGTTTTTGTTGTTGTTGTTGTTGTAGTACCAGGGATCAAACCCAGGATATCTCACACATGTCAAACAAGTACTCTATACTGAGCCACACACCCACCCACTTCAATCACTTTTTGTTTTTATTTTGTCCAGGAAAACTTTTAAAGAGACCACATCTATGTGTGTTATACCTACGCACACACACACGTGTTTTGATAATACAAAGAACCTTGGAGGCATACAGAATGTAGAGATGAATTATCTGTGTGTGGTTATTTCTTGGGAAGGAGGCAGGAACATACTGCAACAGCTGGCTCAGAGCTGACTAGCTTGAAATCCTGGCTTCATCTAGTAACAAGTCCTCAAGAGCCTCTGTCCTCTCTCTGTGATATAGGGGGGTGGCACCACCCTAACTGGTAGCTACCAGGGTCAAATCTTTACTCCTAGCCCTGAATCCCAGCCAGTATAACCATCCTTTTATTTAATAATAAAAGGAAAGACAGAAGATAGGCACTAGTGGCTCATACCTGTAATCTTAGCTACTCAGGAAGCTTGAGATCTAAGGATTATGGTTAGAAGGGCAGACAAAATGGAGAGATTCTTATCTCCAATTAACCAGAAAAAAAAGCTAGAAGTGGATCTGTGACTAGAGTAGTAGAGCACTAACCTTGAGTCAAAAAGATAAGGGACAGTACGCAAGCCCTGAGTTCAAGCCCTATGACTGACACACGTTAAATTTTTAAAAAGGAAGAGAGAAGGAATTAATTAACCTGCCCTCCTGACAGGGAAGTTTAATTGTAAATCCACAGCTGGTGTTCTTCCATATTCCCCCAGTGTTGGATGGAGTCTCCTTGCTGGTGTCACTCTGGCTGCCAGCCCCAGAGCCTCAGGTGAGCAAGGAACTCCGATGGCTCTCGGCTGTCTCCAAGGGAACTCATCACCACCACACCGCCAACTTTCAACAACTGCTCAACTGATATTCAAAAGTAGAAAATTTTCTCAAATGCTCACAGGCTCCTGGCAGGACACAGGGATTTCCTGGAGATTATTTCACACTCTTTTGGAGAATGCAAAAAAAAAAAAAAAGACTAAGGCAGCAGGAATAGAGCCCTCAACTTCCAAATCCTCAAGTTCCCCTGCCCAAAAGGAATGAAGTATCAAAACAGCAGGCAGCCCCGCAACCACTCTTCCAAGCTGCTTGGATTCATGAAGGCTCATTAATCAAAAAGCAGAAAGAGAAGAAGCAAAACGTTAAAACCTGGGCAACTCCTAGTCATGACATGGATCCAATTCTGTAAGAGATTATTACAAATAAAGTAGAGAGAACAATGTGTCCACAGAGAAAAATTTATTCATAAGTACATTTAAATTTTCTGAAAAGAGGATCACAAAGCTTTCCCACTGAGAGCTGGGGGCCCACTGGCCACAACACATCTTTCATGATCCGAACAGTAGCTACCATATCAAGGAAATAAAACCACCTGTACAGAAATATCAATTTACCATGACTTGGCTAACTGAGAATTCTTCACAAGTGCCCCTCTGATGATAAGTTAAAAACTAAATGAGAAATGAGTCAAAAGCTTTTTTTGTTCACAACTGACTTTATCAATATACTCATAGAAAAAAAACAGCAACAACACTTTTTTTCCTAAAGAGAAAAACTTTATATCAAAAGTAACCTAATTCTCCCCAAACCTATCTATCTTACCCCAACATTTTTTTTTACTATTACTATAGGTTAGTTTTTATTTCTGGAAAATCTGCTGATTGAAATAACACACTTTAACTAACACTGATGTTTGCATCATTTCCAGTAACTCAAAGCATATTTACGATTTTGTGCAATTGCTTGAGTTATTCTATTCGCATATAAGATACATCTAGGGGGTAGAACTTACATGTTCTCATTAATAAATGCGCCATTCTTTAAAAATGACGTTAGCCACTGGGCACTGGTGGCTCTTGCCTGTAATCCTAACTTCTCAGGGGGCTGAAATCTGAGGATTGCAGTTCGAAGCCAGCCTGAATAGAAAGTCCCTAAGACTCTTATCTCTAATTAATCACAGAAAAAGCCAGAAGTGGCACTATTGCTCAAATGGTAAAGCACAAGCTTGGGGCAAAAGGAACCCAGGCCCAGTGCCCAGGGCCAGAGTTCAAGCCCCAGGACTAGCAGAAAAAGAAATGAAAAATAAAAGACTTCAATCAAAAATAACTTCACAGACAGCAGAAGCTATTAGGTAGGACTACCTCTTGTCCTGAGTTCTTACAGTTCTGGGTCAGGATTTTATACAAAAATGGCCTGATTTGGAAAATAGTAGTCGACATCAACAGTTCACAAATGAGGGTTTCATTAAAGAAATCTGCATGTTGTTGGCTTCTATGGACAGGGAAGGCTGAGGCAGAGAATGTGAGACTGGGTAACCAAATGGCTGTCTAAATGTACTTAGGGCCAGCTCAGTGCCAAAAGTACCAAGACTATACACAGTTCTAGAGGAAGGGCTACTGCAAAGACATGGCCCGATGCTCTAATTCCTGTGTAAGCAAACACTGAAGTGGGTTGACAAAATAAATGCAAAAGACAAACAGGAAAGAGTGTGTGAGAGTTGTTTACACTGGAAAACATTGACTTGGGTAGGGAGGGGAGTAAAGAAATCCACAGAGATCACAGCATACATCCAAACAATTATGTTATTGTGTGTTTACGAGTTTTTCTTATTCACAGGGAATACACTAAGCTTTTATCTCTAGCACATCTCTAGTACAGGAGTTGGAAGCACCAACTGGCAGGCAAACTGGGATAGGCTGCCTGGAAAGCAAAATGTGTTCAAGAACTTGAAATCCAGACCTTTTCTTCAGAAATTCTATTTTGAGAGTAAAAACAGTGGTAGAGTGCTTGCCTTGCATGCATGAGGCTCCGGGTTTGATTCCTCAGCACCAAATAAGCAGAAAAAGCTGGAAGAGATGTTGTGGTTCAAGTGGTAGAGAGCTAGCCTTGAGCTGAAGAGCTGAGGGACAGTGCCTATGCCCAGAGTTCAGGCCCCACGACCGACCAAAAAGAAAAAGAAAATAACCAATAAATACAAAATAAAAAAAAATAAGAACAAAAACAAACAATCAAAGCGAAGCCTTCATATGATTACAAAAAAATGGCCAAGGGTGGAGGGTCACACCTATAATTCAAGCTACTTGAGAGGCAGAAAATAGGGGGATTAGGGCTCAAGACTTCACAACTTAAAAGAATAAGCCAGGTGCTGTGATCCTCTGTGGATGAGGTTATCCTGGACTCCTTCAGCAGCTGTCTGTACCTCAGACTTGTATCTGAGTACGTGCTGGAGAATAGATTCCTTAAGTACAAGGACAAGGTATGCCAAATGTCAGAGTCAAAATCCTACTGCTGTATGCCAACAAGGTGCTCACAGCTTCACAACCCTTACAGAGCAGGAAGGTGAAGACTAGAGAATGGCTCCTCTGAGATTTAAAGAGGAAACATTATGTATTCATTCCTAAGGAATGAAGAGAATGAAAAACCTATATAGGATGGATTCTTTTTCTCTTTCTCAAATTCAAGAGCCTAAAAAATTTCTAAATTTTCAGTTGATCTCAAGTTGTCCCCAAGTGATACAATGAACACTGTGGTGAGCTACATTCAACCAGAAAAGTGAGAAGGGTACACCAGGCTGTCACCTGCCCACACAGCCTCCAAACAGCCAAATCTAATCTCTTAGGCAAAATATGGAATGATAGGATTACATAATTAATTTTCCTGTTAGGCATAATTGTTACTGACTTCATGGCATTACAATTTCAGCTCATCTGGTAGACAATCGCTATCATGTTCTAATTACAAAAACACACAAACAATTTGTAACCATCCATTATTAAATAACGAGAGGCCACAGTGGCTCAATGGAAACCTAGAAAATGAAAACCAAAGGCAAAATGGACAAGAGGTCCTTTAAGAAATTAATCAATTAATCCTAGTCAAGTATCTCCCGTTGTGTTACTGGGTACCTAGCTCTCAGGTTACCTGCTAAGCCTATTTTCTAAGAGCCACGTTGTTTAACTTGATTAAATGTCAGAGTGACCCAAATTACACCATGTCGCCAAGAACAGATAGCAATACAAATATTTATGATACAGCTTTAACTGCCTGGGTTGCATGAGAAAGGTCAGAATCTTCCCTTGGCTGTCTACAACAGAATATAAAACTGGCCAATTAAAGGATATGTACGTAATAAAAGACTTTATTCTGCTGCTCTGGTGGGTGGATGTAGTTTACAAAGCATTAATTGAGAAGGAGAATGTCAGAACAGAAAAAGAGAGCCACTCTAAAGTATTGGTATCTCCTGCAACTGTCAGTCAACCTAAAGACAGAAGTGAACCACTTCTGACTTCTAGGTCAAGGGTTCCAGATGTGCATGGCTTGGTCCTCAGGAAGGGTGGAACTGGTAATTGAAGGAGAGTTCAAGGAAGCAATAAATATCTATTAAGTACTCCTGCTATACAGTAACCCTACCTAAATGA